CCAATTGGAAACATTATCAACTCAAAACGTAAGAAAAAAGCATTTAAGCGGCTGTCTCTCATGGATATTAAAATATTACAAATCTTATACAAAAACATTTAGGAAGGGAAATTCCTGTTACATATCCTTCTCTACAAAAAGAAATGATAACTACATCCGGGGACTTGAAATTACCATATATAAAAGTTTGGGAAGTCTAAAACTGGGCAATATTGAGTCTTGTTTGTCTTGAGAACATTGTCTTCAGGAGTCTTTCCGTGACAGTTGGGTGTTTTATTTCTTTCTCCGCAGATATGTTGTTGTCGACCTTAAGATTCACGCGTTAGAACTCTATAGTCTAAAACAGAGGTTTAGGTTTCTGCTTATGTTTGGCGTGTTTTTTTTTTTTCAAAAACTTTATTGACCAAGCCACAAAATATTTACAAAATATACACATATACACAACATACAATGCACTGAACAGAATTATAGATGTCTAAAGGACATCTCAGTTACAAAGAAATAAAATAGGTTGTGTTGAATGCTTTCCTTATCTTTAGATTCCAGCCAGGATTTGTAAATGACAAATTTAGCTACGGTGATCGCCAGAATGATATTTGTATCTAAGACTTCCAAATTTTGATCCATTCCCAAAAAAATTGACAAATTGTTTAGCTTAATTCTAGTGCCATGATAAATGGTCAATCTATTTTCAACATTTTGCCAGTAGCTCCCCAACCTTTTGCAATTAACAAACATATGAATGTAGGTTTCCTTAACATTACATAGTGAGCACATTGGACTATATACTTCACCAGCTTGATTCCTAATTTTCCATTGGTTCAGTTTCACTCTACATGGAAGAATATTATGCAATAGCTTGAAATTGAATTCTTTCAATTTGTTTTCTTTAATATTTACTACTAAATTTTTCCATAACAATTTCTTATCCAGATTTGTAACATCAAGTGTTTCACTCCAGTGATCAATACATTTACTTTGTCTTGTTTCTTTTGCTTTTATCTTATTGCATAATATCTTGGATGTCAATTTCTCTAAAGGAACAAAAGTAGTATTAAACATTCCAAGTTGCTGTGTTCCCAAACACTGTTGTTCCCCATATTTACTCATCACACTCAAAGACATTTTCCAATGTTTTGGTATAGCCATACAAAGATTATTATGTTCTGCCAGAAAGTTCCTGGTGTCGTTCAACTTTACTAACAAATTCTGTGCCGTAATAAACTTGCCTTGTAGGAAGACATCTTGAATTTTTACGATACCTGATTTAATCCAGGTTTTATAGTATAACGTTCTATTGTCAAGTTTAATGTAGTGGTTACCCCATATTATTTCATTCATTATTTCACTCATAGTTTGTAGTTCCTTTTTGACACCCCCACCTGCTGAGTGCCAAGCTAGTATAACATTCTTGTAAAAATTTGGCATACTAGTAGTAGGAAGTTCTGGACAATCATTTTTCAAACAAAAGTTCATCCTAAACAACATGTCATCTTTACCACACTCATTTAAATAAACCCTAGCAATAAGTTTCCATTGGGCATTTGGCCCCTGACAAAGTCTTTTTACCCAACTGGCTAGAAAGCCCTGTATCTGAGATCTCAGGTCCACCATTTGTATACCTCCTTCACAGTATTCTCCTATCATACACTTTCTACTAATTTTATCCTTCTTTCCATTCCACAAGAAAGACCAGCATTCTTTTTCTACAGTCCTTATTACCCATTCAGGTGTTTCAATGTTCATAAAATTATAAGTAAATATTGATAACGCCAACTGTTTAATAACAATAACCTTACCATATAAAGTTAAATTTCTGTGTTTCCATAGCTTTAATATATTCTTCAGTCTCTCTACCTTCTTCTCCCAGTTTATCAGTTCGCATACCTCTGGATCATTTCCAAAAAAAATACCAATTGCTTTCACTGGTCCTGTGGTCCATTCTAAATCTAGTATACTCTTTTCTTTTTTACCCATGAACCTATTGGTAGAGCTTTGGTTTTGTTTTGGTTGAGTTTTGTTCCTGCCACTTTCCCAAAATCAGAAATAAGTTTAACTGCATTCTTTACTGATATTTCATCAGCCAGCATTAATGTAGTGTCATCTGCGACTTGTGTTATCTTTATTTCTTCAGTACCGTCTTTATGTTGTACTTCAATACCACGGATACTCTGGCATTTCCTAACTTTTGTAGCCAAATTTCTGTAACCAGTATGAAAAGTAAGCAAGACAGGGGGCACCCCTGTCTTATTCCTCTTTTCAAAGTAAAGGGCTCAGAAATCCAACCATTATTTAAAATGCTACTATGTGTGTCATTGTAAAGAATATGTATCCACTTAGTGAATGTTGGACCAAAATTAAATTTTTCAAGCGTTTTATACATGAAGTCTCGTATTTATTGTATCATACGCTTTTTCGAAATCAAGGAATAACAGTACCCCTGGTTTTTCTTCTGCTTTGTGTAAAAAAAGTATGTCTATTAATCAATCTTATGTTTTCACCTATATATCTGCCTTTTATGTACGCTGTTTGATTTTGATGTATTAGTTTTGAGATAACTCTCTTTACCCTGTTAGCCAGTGTGAACGCAATTATTTTGTAGTCACAGTTAAGTAAGCTAATTGGTCTCCAGTTCTTCAGCAAAAT